TAGTAATTAAGTCAAAGGAGAAGCAATTCAAAACAACACTTATTATACCATAAGTGATAGACAATCTCTGTTAATATAAAGGTTTATAGAAATTTGAGTCCATGTTATAAGCTATTCAGTAGACCACTTTTTCCTCACTTGATAATACATCAGTTTTTCATGTTCTTCCCCCAGATACTCCATGACTCACTCCCTCACTAGATTTAAGTCTTTTCCCAAATACCACCTTAGTGAGGCATTTCTCAACACTTTTCTTTAAAATTGCAACATCCTACTACCACCCTAGCAGTTCTGTCTCCCTTCCTTGTTTTGAATTCTTTATGGTGCTCATCACCATTTGATATTCAGTATGTTTTATTTATTTATTTTTAATCATCCTTTTCCTCCTGCTATGGTGTAATTGTGGGCAACACTTTCTGTTTTATTGATTGATTAATTAATTTTTATTTGTTCTTTTCTCCTCCAGTGTCTTGAATTATACCTGTCACATAAAAGGTACTCAATGAATAAACAGGTGACAGATGTAGATGAACTTCATTCTTTGGATGACTACATAATTATCCACTGTGTAATCAGATGCGATATATTTTATAACAAATACCATATTGATGAGCATTCTGATTTTTCTATTATATTGTGTTGTGATGAAGCTTCCATAACATGCTTCTGTGCAAAATTTTCAGTTATTTCTTTGTACGATAATTTATTTAAAGTGGTATTGTTGAGTTAAATCCATAAACATTTTTGAGGATTTGATACCCTCTGGCAAGTTTTCTTGAAGAAAGTTCTATCTAATATTACTTGGGCTCTAGCTAGGAATATGAGTTCTGATTTCCCTGTACCATCATCAATTCTGTGTTTCATCACTATTTTAAAAATTATTTATTATATTTAATTGACATAATAGTACAAATTTATAGTAATGTACAATGTGACATTTTGTACATGTCCATGTGTAGGAAATAGCAAAAATAGGATAATTAGCTTATCACCTCATTTCTTTGTTATCATTATTTTTAATCTTGGTCCTTTTTAAATGTCATTGTCTATTAGAAATTAAGTACTATCAGAATCAACAATTTATTTTTTAGATAAACAGTAGGAAATAAAAATGGAAGAATGATAGAAAGGTTAGTTCTCCTAGTACATAGTCATGTATAATAAAAGTTTGGAATTTCTAAAGATGTATGCATGAAAACTAAATGTAAAGGTCACAAAGCTTCTAGTTCATCGGAGGGTACATTGCTTAAGGGGTGTGAGCTGCTGTTTTGGTGGCAGTGAGGACAGGTAACCATGAATGCCCAGCCTTTCCCTGATAATGAGCACTTCTCCTAGAGAACACTCACAGGAACTGCACACTCAAAGAACAGGGTAAAAGGGGAATCTAGGCACTGCTTTATTAATAGCTCTGTGAGTGTTGATCTCCCTCTGGGACAGAGATCTGTGGTTGTACTGAGATGGTATGCAGGTTTTGGCTTTAGGAACAGAGAGATGTTTTATCCCATCTCTTCTTCTCACCACTGTGTCTTGGAAGCCTCTATGCTCAGTGAGCTGCATCCCTAAAGGATCTGGCTCGAGGCCCCTATCTACCTATTTGGGGTCAACAAAAATATTCCCAACAATAGCTGGCTTGGTTTTCCTGGGAACCGGATGCTGCATAGGTCTGAAGAAGTATAAGAAAGAGCCCTTTCTGGGTACTTCTTAAACGGATCTGCAGGGCACACTGTTGCATGCCTTTAATCAAAACTACTAAGGAGGCTGAGGCACGAGGATCATAAGTTCAAGGCCAAGGTGGGCAACATAGCAGGGCTCTGTCTCAAAAGATAAAAGTGAAATACAACTGAGGTTCTTACAGTAGTGTCTGGATCAGTTGGATTAGCAAACCTTTACCTTGTCAGGGAAACCAACAGAAGTGGGATGGGAAAAGAGCATTGAAAGGACTTTGTCTCTTAATAGATACAACAAACTGGATAAATCAGAGCAATTTTTTTCATATTTTTAGTTACAACCATTGGAGTCGATGGGTTGAGAAGGCTGAGAAGTGATGGATAAAATGGCACTTATCCTCACTTATTCTCTTAGCCTTTGTCATATTACAGCATTTCCTGGTGGGTTTTAAAACTTTATCAACTGAACATTTAGAAATAACACATTTCTAGGTACTGAAAATCTCTGTTTTGTGTGTTTGTGTTATTTGAAAACTACAAAGGAGAGTTGAACTGCTGTACCAACGAACTCAGGGCTGTCTCTTAACCCCCTGAGAATGCTGGGCACCAAGCTTGAAATGCAAGTTTTAGATCCCTTCAAGGGCAAAAGACAAGGTACTGCGCTCCCCTTTGGCTCAGTAGGAGGGGAAAAAAGTACAAATGAATAAAATAATTGACAAGTTAAAAGTTTGTATTTTCCTTCCACTGTTATTCCTCAGTTGCAAAATTCAGCTTCTTAGAGGCAAGTTGCCATTGTCAGTTGCTTTGGAATCCATTCCAAAGTTTCTTCCTGATAGTACATACATATATCTATACACATCATTACACAAATAACACTTGTCTATTAAAATCGTGAGCTATAAGTTAGAATTCGCATAACAGTTTGATTTAAGATAGTTAAGAGTTTTTCACACACATACATGTGTGTGTGAAAGATCAAAATAGGATAATTAGCATTTCTATCACCTCAAACATTTTTCATTTCTTTGTCATCACTAATCTTAATTTTAGCCCCTCTTTTAAATGGCATTGTCTGTTAGGAAATTAGTACTATCAAAATCAACAATTTATTTTATAGTTAGCAGGAAATAAAAATGGAGATAAAAATAGAAAAGCATCATTGATAGAAAGGCCCGAGCTATCTGCAGTAGTTCACGCTTTCTTCCAAAGAACCCATTTTCTCTCCCTCTTTCATTTTGTATTAGTTTCCTAGTTATTTACCCTTTCTTCCATGTCTTTTAAAAATATAAGTTTTTAAAAGCTATGATAAGAAGTCTTTGGCAGTTGAGCTTGAAGAGCAGAAAACTTCTGTCTGACTCAATAACTGATCCAATTAAAGAAGAAAATTATAATGAGGTTATCATTAGGGATTTAAAAAATTTATCTATGTTGCCTAGAATTATGATCACTGTTGTTTTCAACTTATTTCTTTTTGAAAAGTACATTCTCTTTTCCTTTTCACCCTCCCAAGACTATCATCAATCTGTGCTTCACAATATTTATGTCCTATTACAAAAATAGGGCAAAGAAGAATACAGTTGGAAGGGACCTCAGAGACGGGCAGTTGTACTTTTCATTCCAACACGTAATTTGCTATTGCATTTTGGACTATTCATGTGACTTTTATTGACCTTTGTTTCTCTTTTTATAATACCATCTCCAGGATTTTTTTTTTTTTAGTTTTGATATTATCTGATGGTGTGATGATTCTGTATAACGTAGCAGAACCTGATGAATTATAAGAGGGCATTCAACAATCTGTATTTTAACAAGACCTTTCATAGATCCTGATGAGTTCTGAACTTTGGGAACCATTCCTGTAGTGGGGGGTGTCCTGTGAATGAGAGATAGTGTAWGAAAGTTATCTTAGTACGTTGCCTGGGTGCATGGTCAGATTCGGAGATGACCGAATTTCACTGGGTGTTAGACTTGGCAGCTGTTAGCTACTCTTCAAATTCTAACTGTGTTGTTTGTAAAGCTAATGAAGGCCTAGTGAACAATTTCAAAGGGGTGTCAGAACAACCAAACTCACTGTCTTTCCATGGTGTCCCTTTTACCATTCTTAGACTCTTTCTCCAAATGCCTAAGTTGAGATACTTTGCTACTATACAAAAACAACTCATTTTAATGATGGAGACTGCTGCCCTACAGCTAAATGTTGAAAAGCTGAAATGCAAGGATATGCTACTGATCTATAAATAGAGGAGAATACTTCCCCAACACATCAAAAACATTATTTTTAAAAGGAAGAGAAAAAATAGAAAGACTGTTTAAAAAGGAAATTTCTGTTTTCCCAGTAAAATTTTTTTTTCAAAATCTATTTTAAGAGATTCTATACTATGAGCCATACAGCTCTTAGATATATGTTTGTACCTCAAATTTTACAGATGAGATCTGGTGTTTCAACCACCATTCTTGTTGGTCAGAGATGGATTTCTTGGTCTCTTGAGCCTCATTACTTCCTTCTTGGATTGTATTTTCTAAATCAGATGTTTCTTATTCCAATTTCTCCTCATCTGTTCTGCATATACTTAAACTTTAGTAAATCATATTGTAACCAAGTGTTTCTGCCTCAGAATTCCTTGGGTGCATGATAAAATTGACACTCTGCTCCATCTGTATCCCACTTAGTTATTCATCACTTTTCTAATTTTTATCACCCAGTAACACTATTTTATATTCTTGTGGTTTTGGTAGGTTATACCTTGCTTTTTAATTCTCTGTGCCCTGATTTTTTTTTCCTTGTATGTCTATATCCCCCTTTCTGCCTAGAGTGGACTTGCTATCTACATCCACAATGTGCAGGGCTATTATAGGATCCAGTCAGCCTCCTTTGTTCCTCCACTTGGATATAAGTTTTATTTTATGTTATTTTCCAGAAGTTTATTTATACTCTTCGTAAATTGTATCTTGTATCATTCTTACTTGTATACATGTTTTTTTTTTCCCTCTTGTACTTGATTAAAAATTTACTGAGGTCAAGCTCCATGTCTTATATAATTTAGTCACCTCATCCCCCAAACAAAGCACATCCCCTGCTCTTGCTAAATGTACTTGACCCCTCTAGACTAGCTTTTATGCCACTTCTAAATATCAAATCTTGTCCTCCCTCTGAAAGTTAAGGCTATTAATTAAAGTGAGGAGAGCTAAGATAGGGAATAATTGCTATACAAGGCAAAAAATTATGTGTCAAAGCCAATTATGAAAGAGTAAAATGTCAGCAAATATATATWTTTAAAGAGTATTATGAAATTGCATCCCTTTTAACTTTGTGTGTGTGTTTCTTTTCTGCAGGCGACTTTCTCCCACCACCACCTCCACCTCTAGATGATCCTGGTGCCCTTCCATCTGGCTCTGGAAACTTTCCTCCTCCACCACCCCTTGATGATGGTGCTTTCAAAGTGCAGGTAGGAGCTGTGGTTGCACTCATGAACTAGAAGGAAGCTCATGAATTCAGTAATTGTTTCTGTGGTAGATAAACATTTATCCAGAGCCTATAGAGGGCTTTGCAACTTATAAGGAACCAAGGCACTTTAATGCAAAATGCCCAACTCAAGCTTCTCAGATTTCTGCTGGCTTACACTTTGAAGCCCTGGAAATCCTTTTAACTACTAATTTTGTCTCAAAACCCAAAGCAATTTTTTAGGAATGCTGTTTGAGAAGTCTACATTTTCTTGTTATCCCAGGAACACATAGCTGGGCCTTCTTTATTGCCTTCCCGACTCCCTCTATCCACAAACATTGCATTTCAATGAGTAAGTCTGATATTTTAAGGATCTTTTTGGTCACTGTGGATCCAAGTTGGTCAGCAACATCCTTCTAACAAAAGTAACAACAAAAATCCTTAGGTTTTGTCTTGTGGGTAATTTTAGGGATGCATATATAGATAGGTGTTGTACTCTAGAGCATGTAAATTGCAAAGAAACTCAGGGCTGGACATAGAARTGACACTAAAAGTAGGTTGCAGACTGTGATCATAGGGGACAGGTGAGTGACATGTCATTTAATCCAAATATATTATTTACATAAGGACAGATAATTAATAAAATTATAGAATTACTATTTTGTTCTTAGGTATGGTGATATTAGTATAGACATATTGAGGAAAAAATTAAGAGCCCTTGTCTTTTAGAGAAATATCTGAAGTATTGGGAGATGTAATGTAACAGTGTCTGATATTTGCTTCAAAATAATAAGAGTAGAAAATTTCTGAATGACAACRTGGGTGAGAATAAGATTAGCTGTGATTTGATAACTGTTGGGTGCATGGTCATTTCTGTTATTTAGTCTACATGTCCATATGTCTGAATTTTCCTGTAAGAAGTGTAAAGGAGAAAAAGCCATAGAAAAGAACTGTTTATATGGTTTCATCTGTGGTCTTGTTTTCTTTCTCCCAAATTTCTGKTTGGAGGAGATAAAGGAAGAAATGATTCATTCATTCCAGAAATATTTTGTGTTCCTATTTGGGCATTATTTAAGTACTAGAAAATCTATAATTGAAAATAAAGACAGCTTGCCTTCTGTAACTTACAAGTTGGTAGACTAGTGAACATGAACAAATTATATGCATTGTGATATAAGTTGAGCGAACTACCTGCCAAGGGAAAGAGTGAAGGGGATGTGACTTTCTATAGTGTGTATATGGTCAATAATGTCCTAGAGCTTTGAAGGAGAAGAGCAGGGAATAGATCATAGGGATTTCTTAGGGAGTATATTTTCATGTAATCAATGTTAATAGAAGAAACTTTAAATAGCATCGATCCATTGAAATTAGTACGTTCCAGTTGTAATCAGTAAGTTCCAATTCAGTTTTAATTCTAGATCTTTTCAATGCTATTATTTTTTTTGCATGTGTGTATATACACACATGTATACATGTGTCATTTATATGTCACTCTATATATTAGTATATATATCTCCTGTATTTATTTTGTTGTAAGCTACCACAAAGATCAGATACCAGTGATGACAAGAGTTCTACAGAGTTCATATGTATTTTATGCAGCAGAACCTTTGTAAATAAAAATAATGTTTGAGTTTTCTTACACAGCTATCTTTAATAAAAAAATCATAAAACCTGAGTTTGCTTTTTATGTATCTTTGCTCTTATTTTGTTGGTGATGATTCTTTGAATGTTATTAAATATGCATGATTTAAAAATTGACTTATTCATTTTTCTCTTCTGAATTGTTATGAAAACTATTCTGTTGCATTTTAAATTTTTACTTCTAAAGGTTGWCTTAATGAGAGAGACTTGCTTTTGAAAATTAGTTGAGCATCTTATTTCTAGTTGAGTGATTTTGAGCAGGTCACATGTAGACCCAGTTTCCTCATAATTACAAAAAGGTAGATATACATATAAATATACCTACTTTTCACAATGAAAAGACACAAATAAATTTGAAATTGTTAAGTTGAAATGGATAAACAGATATTTTGATGTTCTAGTAAATATTACCATGTGAAACTAATAATACCAAGAAATATATTAAGGCTTTGCTAGTGGGTTCCACAAAAAAAAAAAAAAATCATTCAATTCATGAATACAGGATGTCTTCCTATTTATTTGTATGGTCTTCTTTAATTTCTTACATCAATATGTCATTGTTTTCATTGTAGAACTCTTTTACCTCCTTGGTTAAAATTTGTTCCTAGGTATTTTATTTTATTTTTGACTTTTATAAGTGGGATATCTTTTTCAGATAGTTTGCTTTTGCCATATTAAGAAAATTACTGTTTTTGTATGTTGATTTTTGCTTCTTGTGATGTTACTGAATTTTTAAGTAAATTCTAATAGTTTTTGTGGAGTATTTAGGATTTTCTCTATATATGATCATACAGTCTGCAAACAGGGGCAATTTGACTTCCTTTTTTCCCAATTAGGATGTTTTTAAATTCTTTCTCTTGCCTAATTGCTCTGGCTAGGACTTCCAGTTCTGTGTTGAATAGAAGTGGTGAAAGTGGGCATCCTTGTCCTGTTCATGGGGCTTTCATAAAATGACAAAAAGACAAAAAGTCTCTTTCTGTGTGGACTTTGTTTGGAGGAATGTACTCAAGCCATGGCTTTGTTTTTGAAGAGGAAGGAAATAAACAAAAAGCCTGTTGCCATGTTGGCTTATGTTCTGTGTAAAACAGAAGGGAGGAAGATAAAAAAATAGCGTAGGGTTTGCCAAATGGAAAGGACAAATCTGGTAGGGAGAGTGTTATTTTTGAGACTCTTCATATGGAAAATTGTTGGCAAGTTAAAAAAGAAAATGGACATGCCCTTCCCTTGTGTAGTGGTGACTTGGGTGTGCCAGTGGCTCTGGGCATGCTCACCCCACCTTTGGATATGAGCTGTGATATAGTCTGGAGTGATGTATCATGGGAGAAAACTTTGCACCTTTTTCTCTCAGTTCTGGTGAAACCTCCTGTTGCCAAGTCCAGATTATAGCTGGTGSATGTGTGTTTTTATGTGCAACACTGTTTATGTTTCCAACCATATTTTCAGCTCAGAGCCAAAAGTATGTCTACTAAGTGTGACTGTGAGAATTATAAGAGATTCAGGGCTGAAAGGGACCTTCAGATCATGTAGTCCAACCCTGGCTCCAAGCATCTAGATATGGCCCTTTTAAGTACTAACTGAATGAATTAACTCTCTCCCCCCCCCTTTTTTTGGCCATGGGGAAACTAAGAACCAAGGAAGAGAAGACCCTCTAGTTTCAGTTTTTACTGGATTTGGCCTTGACCTTTGTACCAGATGGTCCCTATGCTTGGTTTTGCTTTAGTTCTCTTTCAAGCTGTTAGGCTCTGAGATTCAGAGTAGGAGGGATACATGCTTTTATCTGGAAAGAATAGGTGCTACTGGAGTTTTGCTTGACACTCTTGATTTGTTTTTCAAAATTTAACCCAGAGGTGCTTTACCCCTTAGCTTCATCCCCGCCACACTCCTCCCACTTTTAAATTTTGAGACAGGATCTCATGAAGTTGCTTAGGGCCTTGCTAAAATTCCTGAGGCTGGCCTTGAATTTGTGATCCTCTCACTTCAGTCTCCTGAGCCTGTGGGATTACAGRTTTGCGCCACCATGTCTGGCAACACATTATTTTCTATATGCTGTACACATTTTTTTTTTCCTTTTGCAAAGGCCAAGTAAGTGTTTATTTTTGTTTTGAGGGTTCTTATTTTTTTGGGGGAAGAGATGAATCTTGAAAAACAAGATTTTTTTTGGTTTGCTTTTTTGTCAGGAGCAATTTTGGCCTCTATGTCTATGAGGTTTGAGTGATCCATTAGCAGTCACTTTATTCATTCATTTGTTCTTAATTCTTTCAGTGTAAATTCAATACCTTCTAGATGTAAATGCCAATGCTAGGGCTCCTAGCCTTTGAATTTGACCTCAAAAGTTTGGGACCTCAACTCTTCAATTTTAGGGACTGAGTTAGCCTCTGTTGGTTTCGATGCCAAAGTTGACAATTTTTTTGTTATTTTCAGCCAGACCTTGGACAGGTATTACTTAGGAGAGTTGCACAGCAGGAGAATGTCTCAGAGAATTTCAGGTTTGTAAGAAATTCAGAGATCCCACATTCAAGTCCCTTTCTATTGTTACAATATTTTCTTTCTATTTTACAAAATGTTTATGAATGACTCTTACAGGATTGATAATGCTGAGGAATAGGAGATGGATAGTACCTAGAATCAAGGCTTAAAGAACACACACACACACACACACACACACACATTTTTAAATAAAGACATGACAAATTGTGCCTCAGTTATGATGCTTTGATTAGAAGCACAATTTAAGTTCTGTATTAGTGGTAGGGAAATAAATTAACCATGATTGGAGAAATGAAAGTAGGTTCTTGGAAACAATTTCAGTTCAGCTGAACTTTGATGGTTAGATAGGGCCATAATTTTCAGATGAGGGGAG